GGCTGCCGGTTCCGGCTTCCTGGAGGGAATCTGGGCCTCTCCCGCGGCGGTGCTGGCGGCGGCGGCGGGACTGGTAGCAGCGTCGCTCTCCTTGCTGGTGCTCGTGCTGGGCCTCTCTGGAGCGGCGCTCTCCCTGATCGTGGCAGCGGCGGCTGCAGGGGCCTGGATAGTCTCCTCGGGGTTAGGCGGCGGCAAGGACCGGAGGGGGACCCCCTTGCTGACCCACCGCACCCCCTTCGCTGCCAAGAGCAGCGAAGCGGTCCTCGCCAACGGGGGGCCCTCCATGAGCTACTCCTCGCCCGGGCTGCTCGTGCCTGAAAGGAGGCGGCGGCAGATTTGCGGGTAAGGGAAGTGAGTGGAGCTCCTTGCCCTTTCAGCTCTTACAAAGACGGGCCCTGCTGGGAGTCTGTCAGTTGCAGTCTGTACATGTTCGTATGCCTGTGCTTCCAGAATGGAATTGGAACTGCAGCAATGTTGCCAAGGTTCTTTGGGCTCTCCAGTTGTGAAAGGGAAGAGGAGCATAAACTTGACTGGATAGAGGTTTCTTTTTCCATGGCTACACAGCAGTATTCCAGTGACATTCTTTCTCTTTCATCAAACTTGGTTAGGGAATCACTGGAGAAAATAAGGCTAGAACCTGCTTCTCTTCTCCTTCTTCCCGCCTGCTTGTACATGGGGAAAGGTAGCCATATACATTCAGACTGCATGCGCATGTTTGCACAATATATATTCTCTAATTTGAGCTAGCACTCTCTCATTCATTTATTTATATATATATATATATATATATATATATATCACATAATTCTTAGCAAAACATATTTTGAGCTAGTCAATTTAGCTAAGTATTTGCTAGAGCTCAAATGTGGGGCCTCTTGCATGAAGAACAAGCTGTAGGTTCAGAGAGCTACAGTCCTTTCTCCTGTAGAAAGTTGGGCTACTTTCTGCTGTTCAACCCAGCATTCTTTTTGTTCTTTCTGTTCTGCATCTTCTCCCATTTTTGTGGGCTTCCTGTAATTAATGGTAGTTAGGATTTTGGGGGGGGGTTTTTGGGGGGTACAATTTCATTCTGTCCCTCTGGTTATAGAGCCAGGTACTTCCCTGTTCCCATCCTTTTCTGGTTTGTCTTTTCCTTCCTCTTCTATGCATGTTTCATTCTACTTGGCAGAGATGGCTACTGTTTTGCTTGACCTTGGTTTTGGGGACTAAAGAGAAGCAGAGGTTTGGGGAGGTGGGGTGCTTTCTTTACACTGCCTGGGGAAGAGGAATAATTAAATCAGCATCTTCATCATATTGTGTTTTGTTGTTGTTTTATCTCTCAGCTTATTCTGACATCATTAAACCTGGCTTGATTTCAGCACTGCATTCTCCTTTTCCCTCATCCATTACCACTGCCTTATCAGAGCTCTTGTCAGTTTCCTCTTCCATCTGTGCTCTGGGTTTCCCTGGTGGAGAAGCTCAAATTCCCTTGCTTTGTCTATGGCAGGTTTGCTGCCTTTCTCATATTCTATTCAGACCAGATGTGATGGAAGGGAGAGAGCTGGAAATCTAAGTGGGTCTTGTCAGTGACTTACAATGAAGGTTTTTCTCAAGGTTGTAAGCCAGGCTGAATATATTAGCTGAGGTAAACAGCAGTGTCGTGTGTGCACGACAGATGTTCTGTTCTTATTGTAAGTCAGTATTCTCAGGTGATCCACTTTTCACTTAAATTGGCAGGTAGTAAATAGTCTATATAAATAAAATATTCAACTCAAAAATAAGTGAATGAATTCTATGGCTGAAGTTTGCTGCAAACCATCTTGGATTTGTAGTGCTCTCATTTTCTGGATTTATTGATTTTCATGTTGATGAGAATAGCATGCTAGATCTTCTATTTGCACTTTGAAATAACTTACAGTATGAACTGATGGGAAGTGATATCTATTCATTGCTGACAAGACTAAGTACTGAATATAATGAATATAAAGGATACTATGCATTGGTCTGAGATACCCTTTCTGATGGCACTTTTTACAGGAACAGTCTTGCTTATTTATTTTATTTATTTATTAAATTTGTATGCCGCCCATCTCCCCCAGCAGGTGACTGCTTAAGTCTTGCTGCTTAAAATTATTTCTCCATTTTCCTTGATTACATGCTTTGTTCTCCACTCTTTCCAGGGAACACCTGAGTCCATCAACTCATTTTATGCCCACTCCTCGTCGGCGCTATCCTATCCAGCAGGCCCAGTATGCTGCGTTGGGAACCCTACCTTCAATTTGCTGGGATGGCTATCGGCGGAAAAACAGGCTATCCATTCACCATTCTAGCATGGCCCACAGCCCTGTGACAGTGAAGATTGCTCGGCCAGACAGCAACATTGGCTGTTCCCCACTGTGAGTCTGCTTCAGTAATCACTTTTGAGCAGTTCTTAGGTTTGCAAGCTTGAAGGTTGACTCTTGGAGTGATCTCACCTCTCATTTCTCTTCCTGATTTATGATGATGTGTGTAAATATTGTAGAAAGATGGGCAATCTCTTAAGTTGTTTCCTTGTGCCCCAGTAACTTAGAACACATCCTGGTTAGTTGATTGGTGGGACTGACTGAGCTATTCCTCTTCCTGTTATCAGCCTCCACAATCCTTGGCGCTAAAATGACTTCTTCATCACTCATCGTATTGCCTTAGAAGTGCTTTGTGAGGTCACAAGTGAATCCTGAGCTGATGTGAACAGGCTGCCTACATTCAGCCAGTTTTCAAACTGAATCCCATTGGATAGAGGTCCAGTGGGCATGAGGAGTGCAGTAACTTAGCTCCTGGGATATCATATGGGTAGTAAATTCACACTTGTGACTACTATTATTTCGTCTGACAGGTTGGAGCAGTTGGTTTCTCCTGTGGCTTTCTCTTCAGCACCTAACACTATCCTGGATCCATGTGCAAAAGAAACTGTCTTGAATGCTCTCAAAGAGAGCCGGAAGAGAGCTGTGGAGGAAGAAGAGGAGGACCAGAACTTTCCAGGTGGTCAGGAAAACAAGAAGAGGTAATGGCTAATGGTCTCTCTGGATGCTGCAGAACAAGTCTCCAGAAAATTAGCACAGTAGTTAAACACTTTGGTTTAAAGAGTGGAACTCAAGCTTATACGTTAATCTGAACAAAACACTTTCTGAGGTGGGTCGTAGCAATACTGCTTACACAGGGACAGGAGTTATTCAATATTTTAATCCTCAGATCAAGACAAATATTCTTACATATTCCTTGTAAACTTCCTGCATTTAGTAAGGTCTGCACCCCAAAGCTATTAACAGGTAATAGATTTGCAGCAAACATGTAGTTTTGTATGCAGTCAAGTTATATATATCTCAGTCAGGACTTGCAAGCCAAGCAACAGGGCTTAGAAGAATCAGAATGCTTGCACCAGTATCTTCTCCTGTATCTTCTGTAAGTTACCATAGCATTGCTTCATGCTTTCGTTGACTCCAGACACTTTGTAAGCATATTGCAACCATGCTTATAATAGAAAAATATGGCAAAGGCAGGCAGGAATGAGTACACAAAATGTGCACCTCATTATAGGTTTTGAGCCATCTAAGATCAATATTCCCTGTAACAAATTATCATATCTAGACCAATTATTTGGGCCCATGTCTTTTGGGACATCTTTATTCTTTGCTAGAAAATGAACAAGTTATTTTGAATATGAATAACATTTCCAGAAGTGCAGTTGCATTTCTTCATACTGATCTTTTGATTATTTTAGGACATCTGTATAATAAAGTCAATAGATTGTTTCATGGACTTTGTACAAACTGTTTTCAATAAGGCTGCTATACCTGGAGAATGTTTTTTTTTGCTGGGGTGAAGAGGTATAGCAGATGCCATGGTAAGTACTGGGACTGCTACCATTACTCATGGTATTTTAAGTTTGAAAACAGTTTAAATATAACGTTTTTAAAAATACATCACATCCACTTGCCACAACAGTAAGATCCCTCCAAGCTGAAATCCATTGAATAGTTTCTGCTTCACCTTTGAAAAATTGGCAAAATGTGTTTTCTCTCCCTCTGATCAGCCTCCCTATTTTTGTGCTGGTGGTTGACATGGAATTTTAATGGGTGACTTTACTCCTTTACACTAGCCTGAGAATGGAACTGAACTTCCTCATTATAGTGAGCCAGTTGGACCAGAGTTCTTTGGGATTGCTGGTAGAAGGGATGTGCTCTTGTTTCCACCTGAAATCATACTTTTAATCTTTTTATTTCCTGCAGACGCCATGATAGTACTGGAAGTGCTCATTCGGCATTTGAGCCCTTGGTGGCTAATGGAGCACCTGCATCTCTTGTCCCCAAGTAAGTCCATGATGTTTTTCCTTATAATGCTAACAAATGATCCTGTGTATGTTTTGGAGAAGAGAGGATCACATGGGGAAAATGTTTGAGCCCTTTTCTCCCTAGTTGCTGGTTCTCCTGTCAGTTGAAGGATCCAGATGAATTACAGTGTGTGTGTAATTAAGTAAATTAAATTAGATAAGTAGGTAAAACAAAATAAAGGAATTGGTTTTTAAATGCCTGGCTAAAGAGATGTAGCTTCACAGATCTTTTAAAGTTAGGAGCGGGAGCCAAATACAGCTCTTGGGGGAGTGCATTCTGTAGCTTTGAAGCTATGTAACAGAAGGTGGTCTCCTGTGGGTTAGATAAATGGGCCTCTGAAAGCTGGAACATCATTCCGAGAAGAGGAGGACATCATTTTCCTGGAGAGAGGATTCCAGTTTGGCTCTCCTGGAAATATATTGTGTATACTTTGTGCTTGTAAACCACAAGAAACAAGATAGGTTCCTTCACTGCACTTTGGAAGTTGTGCTTCTTCCAAATTGTCTTGCAGCATACCTATAACCTCTGCCTCTTTTCCCAGGCCTGGGTCTCTGAAGCGGGGACTCCTTTCTTCCCACTGCCTAGAAGATTGCTCCTCTAAGAGATCGCGCACCTCTTCCCTCAGTTCTGTGAATAGTCTGTCTGTGGGTGGAATACCAAGCTCTATCCGCAATGCTATTGCCAGCTCATACAGCTCCACCAGAGGTCTCTCACAGGTACGCTGTTAGATGACTAGCTCCCTTAATGCGTGAGACAGTGTAGGTATTTTCCCAGTTGTAGGCGAAATTGTGATTCTCAAAAGATTCCTAGTGAGCCCTCTAAGAAGCAAAGATGCGATAGTAACTTGCTATTCTCTTCTTCTTTCTTAAACAAAACTTGATCATCTGCATACAAATATTAACTTCTCTGTTTGTTCTCAAATTAGAAGAATAAATATGGCAACAAAGGGACTTGTCTCTTAAAATGTAAAAATATATGTTATGACTGCAGATCAATGAAGTTTAGTTTGCCAGTTTTCGTAAATGGTTGTAATATGGTCTGTCTGAATTCAGTCCAAGTTTTTCATGGAATCTGATATGGCATAGGAATGGAAGTTGTCAGAAGAGGGTCTGGAGTTGGCTTCTTAGTTGGTAGATTTGTCAGAGGTGTACAAACCCTGCTACTAGTTTGTATGCTGCAAGTAACACTATAAAATCCTTTCATTCAGTCTGATAATTGTCATCCAGGTTGTTTACTAAGATCCTTGTGACTTTTGACAGTCCCAGCTGAATCTGCAGGGCACTTGTGGATGTTCCTACCTGGACGATATCTTCATCACGTATCCATCCAAATAGTAAGAGTGGAGTAGCCAGCCAGTGCAGAAAATTATCAGGAATTTTGCAAGCAACAGAGGGAATTAGAAGAGCCTGTTAGAATCAAATGGCCAGCAAATCCTAGCAGTGGCTGACAGTTCTACAAAGCCTGAAGGTAGCAAGCTGCTATGGCTATACTCAAGCAGACTTCTCACAGGAGTGAGTCTAAACTTTCTCACCAAAATGAATAAGCATGCTGGATGCCAATCTGTCCAGGCAGAGACTACTGAGAGATTGAAACAAAGAGATACAGCTGAGTTGGGGAGCCTGGTAGAGCAACAATGTCACAGAGGCCAGTGATTGGACAGGGTTTCAAGAATAAACGTGGCATAAGTGATTCTTGAATAAGTTTATTATAAGTGTGTAAGTTTTAGATGGCAGCATTTAATCATGGAAGATTCTTTGTGCCATTCACCTCCTGTGTAAATAGGTTTCAAAAGAGGCTACATTAACTTCCTAACCATATAGATTCTCTGCTTAGGACCTAAGTAGAGTACCGAAGAGATTCTTCTTGTTCCTAATAATACTTCTTGCTTCATTTTCTTTCCTTCAGCTCTGGAAGAGAAGGGGGCCAAGTACCTCTCCTCTTTCCAGCCCAGCATCTTCTCGGTCTCAAACACCTGAAAGGCCTAACAAGAAAGCAAGATATCCCAGCTCCAGCATCACGTAAGTGCGGTTTTTCTTTACCCTTCTGATATTCTGTAGTCTTCTTATGGTTATCAGAAGCTAGAAGGATCAAGTATAATGCAATTCCTTCAAATCCTCTTTCTGATAGATACTTTGGTTTCCATAGACATATCTTGTGTGTGTGTGTGCGTGCGCTTTCAAGTCACTGTTGACTCCTGCTGACTGCCTGGACAAATCCCTGCAGTTTTCTTGGCAAGATTTCAGAAATGATTTGCCATTGCCTGCTTCCTAGGGCTGAGAGTGAGTGTCTGGCCCAAGGTCAGCAGTTCACTTTGTGCCTAAAGCAGGACTAGAACTCATGGTCTCCCAGTTTCTAGCCTGATGCCTTAACCACTACACCAGACTAGCTTTCTATAGATATATCTACAGTACATGATTCCTCCCTTCTCTTGTTTCACTGGTGAAGTTGAACAAAGAAATCTTTCCTGCATTTAAAGGTCTCCTGAAAAGAGATCACTCTTCTGCAAGGAAGGGCAAGGTTTTGCATGTGGTCTTTAATAGGCAAGATCCTGACTAGTTTTTTGGGGGGTGGGGTATGTATTTATTGAAAAGAAAGCTGACCATTAAAAACATTTGGAATTCCAAAAGTGTATAGAAAGCATTTTCCATGACATTTGACCAAACTGCATCTCCAAAGTTAACCTGACCATTAGACAAATTGAAAGAGTGCTTTAGGCAGTGAATGAAGATGTGCAGTGAATTGGGCTGTTGTCCTTGCAATCTGTTGCCTGGAATTTTTTGTCACTAGGGCAACACACTCAGGTGACCACAGGGGCCCTGAAAATCTCCTCAAATCATCCAAAGGGCAGATGGCCAACTATTGGCCATGAAATGAGTGACAGTAGTCCATGGGAGGAAAAATGGTAGAGATGAGGGAAGCAGGTCTTCCTCCCACCTCAGACTGCCCCTCTGCAAATCTTCCCACCCTGAAAGAAGAAGAGCTTAAGCATCATATCTCACTTGCGTTCTCCTGTGCTACAGCGAAGAAGAGCCTCAGAAATCCAACACACAAACGCCCGTGACAGCAGACAAAGAGATGCAGGAAGAAAAGAGTAAGTGGAAGGGATGGGGATGAGATGTGCCAAGAAGAAATGGGGAGCAAGACTGAGGTGCAGCATTGAGTCTGGGGTATGATGTGAGGATCCTAAACAAAAAAGAAAGAAAGAAAGAAAGAAAGAAAGATCTCATTGTGGGTAAGGGGGAAAATGTCTGTTTCACAGCAGTCTGCTTTAGAATGACTTTTACACAGATGGATTGTGATGATTTTACAGCTGCTCAGAATGAAAAAAAAGTCATATCTATGCAATAGCAGCAAAGTGGTGTTTCAATATTTCAAGCCTATGTTGCTAAGCGGTCTTAGCTATATATCTTTTTTTCTCTGTTGCATGTTTTCTAATCAGTTGGGAGGCTCTATTAAAAACAACTTACAGACTATCTTGAGGTCTCTGGAGGAAATATTGAAATTTTAGTTAATACTGAGTCATAAAAATATTCTTACAATGTATCAGCCCAGCTTATTCCTGTTTATTTTTCTGTAGCTTCTGTGTTCACATTATGCCTATCTATTTTTTAAAGCCTTTAAAGATGTTGTATTTAGACACGGATAATTACTACTGCAGAAGCCTGAGCTGCTTCTGATTGGGCAACCACATGCATATCTTGTCAACTGTGGTCTCCTTCTCTAGTTTCAGAATCACCCTTGCAGAATAAACGCAACTATGTGACTTCACTATCTTCATCAGGAAGCAATGGCAAGCGCAAGCGGAAGATTCAGCTACTTTCAGCTCATCATGGAGATAATTTCACCTTGGTATATCTCTTCAGTGACTGCTTTCTTTCCTTCCTCCTTTTTTCCAGGAGCAAGAAATGTTGGGCACATAGTTGGGCTGACATACGGAAGACACCATATGGCTGGTGATAAGCTATCCAGCCAAGAAGACAAGATAGTTAAATTGAGTAGGATGGGTGCTGCTAAGCACGCCACATGCCTTGATGCCTGAGAAAAAAGTGGGAAGCATTAAAGTCATGTAATCTTTGGATTTATTTATACATTCTCAGAGCTAAGGGAAGAATACCTCTGTCTTTTGTGTGGTGCTATTTTATGACAGTGCTCTTTTGCTCATTCAGAACAAATACTTAAAATGTTGTTTTCTTGGCAGCCTCCACCACCTCAGCTGGGCTATCCAGTCACCCCAGAGGACTTGGATGCCGAGAAGAAAGCAACATTACAGTGGTTCAACAAAATCTTGGAAGAGAACATTGGTAGGTGATACCTCTTGCCTGCTCTAAGCTGTCCTTTGAGAGTCTACTCCAAGAATAGGAGATTTATACAAACTAAAAGTGGCTAATGATGATGACTCTTTCTGTGCAGGTCTCAAAATGTCTCTTTTGCTTGTTCTGTTGGCTCTTGTTAGTCACAGATACATTAGTTGGCTTTCATGTCAGCAGATGCTAGATAATGGACTCTTGTGACCTTACAATTGCCGGAAAGCTCTGATGGTTTTCCCAACAGATTCCACTCCAAGCCCACCTGTGGAGACCACCTCTTCACCCCAAACCTTGAACTTTTCCCTGATGTCTGGCAAGCCAACCCCCGTATCATTGCCCGTCTCTACTGCAACGACCAATCCTCTTCTGGAGAGCCTGAAGAAGATGCAAGATGTAAAGAGCTCTTCAGTACAAGCAGGTGAGCAGTTTCAGAGGGAAAGGGACATTCATTGGCTGCCTGTGAAGAACGTTTGAGTGTGATAACGGTCTATGCTCTGAGGTTGGTGGATCTGAAGCTGTTCTTAAGTATTTATCAGCTTCCTGTAGAATTGACATTGACGAAGAATGCAGGGGAACAAGGACTAGGATTTCTGTAAGTAATCTAGGTCTCATCTGATGATCCTAGAGATGGGTAGGGTTAGGAGTTTTATGTTCATTAAAATATTATAGATGATTCCATTAAAACGCTTTTTTTCAAATTTTGTCCTGAACAGGATTCAAAATACAGTATCTTGCTTCCCGCTCTTCCTTTCCAAAGATCCAGAAGCAGGCTGAACTTTATAGCCTTAAAGCTCACCTTAAAAAAATCAGATGGTCCCATAAATTTATGAATTCTTTGCATTTATAATGCAGAAACTATTCAGCTCACAGACTGACCAACGAGGCCTTCCTTTCCCCTCTTGAGCTAAAGGGAAAAGGCAGAGGCAATTTAAACTGACTAGTATGCTTTTTTCCATCCAGAAAAAAGATTGCTCCTCACCTCCTTCATAAAGAAAAATATTCTTTTTGTTCAAAAATATTTTTCCCAGTTATTAAGGGAAAAGCATTGGAGCTCATCTGGCCTACTGGAGTATTTGGAGACTAGAATCCAGACTTTCCCCTGGACCCAGGTCTCCACTTACGTTGTGGAGATACTGTGGAACTCCACAGGCCTGGCATCTTGCCAGCTTTGAAGCAGAGTTTTCTACTTTTGAGAAATTCCCTCCTCCTGGGGCCTATTCAGTCCATTTGTTGGTTTTCTTTTAAATGGTTGGAGCATGTCCTTTTTCAGGAGACATTTAGAGCAATTTGGAAAATCCTTAAATATGTTTTTTAATGTTCAGTTTTACAGAATTATAACCATCATTTCATCTATTCCTTTCTGTTTATTATCTGAAGAGGAATTTCTGATTAGATATGTGTAATCCTGTTAAGCTAGCTCCTGAATGCCAAATAGCTGACTGTTGCAGACCATTTTCTGGGGATTAGCAAGCAAAATGGCCTACATTAGACAAGAGAGGATAAGATAGATTCTGAAATGTTTATCGTGCAGCCTAAAGAAATATTCCTTACCCTCCATCCATGCTGGACAGTAAGTCCAGAATATTTTTGCCTTTTTGATGTATCCAGCTTTGAATTTCTCCCAAGGTAGAGATTTAATTCTTGAACTTCTCCCCTGGTTGTAATGACAGTTGGATTGTTTCAGGGTAGGAATATCACCCTTTTTCTCTGCATATACAAAAATGAAACAAATTCTATTCTGCAGTAAATAGAGAAGAGGAGGAGGGAAGAGAACATTTAAGTATTCCAGATTGTCTAATATAAATATAGTGGTACCTCGGGTTACGAATTTAATCCGTTCCATGATTCTG